TTTACCCCCAGGATGCGACCCACACCAGTCGACTAACACCCAGGTACCTATTTTACTGATAGTTGAACATGGACAGCAGATGTAAGGTGACTAGCACCCAGGTACCTATTTTAATCCTAGGTGAACATGGACAGCAGGTGTCTTAAGCAAACACGTCCTAATGTTTCCACCCGTACCGGAGATCGAACCACGGACCTCAGTGTGTGAGCTGAGTGCGCTACCAACCCAGCGATGTTAACCTTGCTTACGAAACTGTTGCTTGTAAATATATTGTGAGAGAACATTCCATAATAATTGGTCGTAACATTGACTACCTAGCCATGCACTGGGTACTCACCTAATTGTGGTTGCAGCTCCTGGTCCCTGGTGATGAAGTTCATCTGATTCAACCTAGGCTAACAGAATGTAGCCTTACTTAACCTAGCCAGGGTAAATTACGTACATAACCTTACTTAACCTATCCTAGGTATTATTATTACTAAAGATTCGCCGGTATTCTCCCGGCCCGGGCCTTTTCCAAGTGGTGGCCCGGCCTTGGCTCCCTCTTTAGGGAGTGTCTGAGACCTAAGTCTCCCATGGGAGGAGGCACAAGTACCTCCTCATCTTTGGGACCAACTGTCCCCAGGCCTAGCCACAAGCTAGGCCTCTCTGGTCTGCCATCCCCGCCCCAAGGAGGCTAATGGGAATGACAGTCTTGTGAGCTACAAGCTCCGGCTCAGGCACCTACCCTACCCTAGAAGGGTTAGGCATGGTGTCGATTGTATCCTAGGTAATTACCCTCTGGTAATTAGCTAATCTTATTTAACCTAACATTGCACAATCATATACATGTATATAATTTTTGCATATGCGATTACGAAATTTAATCCAACATTAACATATACAATAAAGGCCTTTTAAGGTGCTATTAAATTTGGGATGAACTTCTGAAAGACATTTACAAAACACTAGTCTTATACTGAGATTTATAAGCGATATTAATCCAACTGTTAAATATTTAATGTTAAAATAGCGCCTCGGTCAGGCACTCTTTCCACTTTTTTAATTCATATATCGCGTGCAGAAATTTATACGTTATTGGTGAGCCACTTAAGCAGTAAGTCAGTAAGTCAGTGAGTCAATGAGTCAATGAGTCAGTGAGTGAATGAGCCAGTGAGTGAATGAGTCAGTGAGTCAGTGAGTGAATGAGTGAGTCAGTGAGTGAATGAGTCAGTCAGTGAATGAGTCAGTGAGTGAATGAGTGAGTCAGTGAGTGAATGAGTCAGTGAGTGAATGAGTCAGTGAGTCAGTCAGTGAATGAGTCAGTGAGTGAATGAGTCAGTGAGTGAAGTGAGTCAGTGAGTCAGTCAGTGAAATGAGTCAGTGAGTGAATGAGTCAGTGAGTGAGTCAGTGAGTGAGTCATGAGTGAGTCAGTGAGTGAAATGAGTGAGTCAGTAGTGAATGAGTCAGTGAGTGAATAAGTCAGTGAGTGATAGTCAGTCAGTGAATGAGTCAGTGAGTAGTCAGTAATGAGTCAGTGAGTGAATAAGTCAGTGATAGTGAGTCCAGTAGTAAGTCAGTGAGTCAGTGTACATGAGTCATGAATCAATAGTCAGTAGTAATCGTAGGTATAGTATTAACATTATATAATAACTAGATATAATAACAATAACCAAAATAATCAAAGTGACTTATTTCCGCTGAGGTCCAGCCCACAATAATTGTAAAATGTGTAGGGGAGCCAATGTGGTCACCAAAATGGTAAATTGACCCGGCCGGGATACCATACCGGCGAATCAAATAGAATAGAATAGTAACTTGTGGATAATAATAATAATAATAATATAATAAAAATAATTTAATAATAATAATAATAATATATTAAATAATAATAATGTTTATTTCTACAAGTACATGATACAACTTATACAGACCATAGCTGACATCAATGACATACTACTATATAGAAAGTCCGTTGTTATGCAGAGCATTTCCCGCAAATTAGGTCAATTTTGTCCCAAGGATGCGACCCACACCAGTCCACTAACACCCAGGTACCTATTTTACTGCTAGGTGAACATGGACAGCAGGTGTTTTATGGAAAAACGTTCTAATGTTTCCACCCGTACCGGGGATCGAACCCCGAACCTCAGTGTGTGAGGTGAGTGCGCTAGCAATCAAGCTACGATATTGTGACTTGTGGGTTACATGTGAATTATTTCAGCCACGGTTTTGTGATTTTTGTTCATTATATTTGTTTTAAATATTAGCCGTATCCGTAGCCACTAGAACCATGTACCAATATGATTCATCCACTAGGTATATTTGTGGTCACAGAGTGCTGTGCTAACCTTCCATGGATGTAGAAATATACCTAGTTGGATGAATCTTATTGTGGCTAGCTGGTCTAGTGGCTAACGCGACGGGCTGGAGTTTTGAGACACTATGACCGCGGGTTCAATCCCGGCCGGGGGTATGGTTTGTTTGCAATCGTGTCATTACGATTTCTTGAGTCATGTTGTGACTTGTGGGTTACATGTGAATTATTTCAGCCACGGTTTTGTGATTTTTGTTCATTATTTATTATTATTATTATTATTATTATTATTAAGAAGAAACAATATATATATATATATATATATATATATATATATATATATATATATATATATATATATATATATATATATATATATATATATATATAATATATATATATATATATATATATATATATTAAGTTGGTAAAGCGTGTTGGAGTGAAGAATACATTAGCTTTCTAGCTGACAGCTTAGAGCTGGTGTTAGCTGCTGAAGGCTACACCAGCTATAATTACTCACCTGCCTGGAGTGTTGTGAAGTTCTTTTAGTTTTGATTGGGTAGAGTGTGGGTCCTGACCTGGTCTGTGGGGGTCTTGATGACCTGGTCTGTGTTGTGTGTGGTCTTGATGACCTGGTCTGTGTTGTGTGTGGTCTTGATGACCTGGTCTGTGTTGTGTGTGGTCTTGATGACCTGGTCTGTGTTGTGTGTGGTCTTGATGACCTGGTCTGTGTTGTGTGTGGTCTTGATGACCTGGTCTGTGTTGTGTGGGGATCTTGATGACCTGGTCTGTGTTGTGTGGGGATCTTGATGACCTGGTCTGTGTTGTGTGTGGTCTTGATGACCTGGTCTGTGTTGTGTGTGGTCTTGATGACCTGGTCTTGATGACCTGGTCTGTGATGTGTGGGGATCTTGATGACCTAGTCTGTGTTGTGTGTGGTCTTGATGACCTGGTCTGTGATGTGTGGGGATCTTGATGACCTGGTCTGTGGTGTGGGGTCGTCTTAACCCGATTTGTGGCGCGGGAAAGGGGGGTCTTGAAGACACACAAAACACAATACTGTAGCTTGCGCCAATAACTCACTACAGTTGTGACCGGGTGTGGAAGTGTGAATTGCTCATTACACTATAATTTGTTCATGATTGTAGCCATGTATAAACGTAAGTAACCATTCTTACAGTATTCATTACCTTTGTAACTTGTGAGTTCATTACCTTTGTACCTAGTTCAGCCATCAAAATTTTGGGGCCCAGTCCCTGGACCCATTACGTACCTCTGTAATCTGTAAATATCTTTGTAACTTGTCATGATTGTGACTAGACCTACCTGGAGTTGATTACCTTTATAAATTGTGAGTTCATTACCTCTGTAACTTGCTCAGCTATCAAAACTTTGGAGTCCAGTCCCTGGACCAATTATGTACCTCTGTAATCTTTTGACTACCGCCCACAGGATGGGTATGGGGTGCATAATAAACATATTAAACTTAAAACTAACTGTAGCTCGAATAATTCACAGCCCACCAGTAACGTGTTGAAAGTATCAATGCAAAACAAAACTCACAGCAGTTTACCTGGAGTTTACCTGGAGAGAGTTCCGGGGGTCAACGCCCCCGCGGCCCGGTCTGTGACCAGGCCTCCTTAGGTCAGTGTCCCAGGATGCGACCCACACCAGTCGACTAACACCCAGGTACCCATTTTACTGATGGGGAACATAGACAACAGGTGGAAAGAAACACGTCCAATGTTTCTACTCTGGCTGGGAATCGAACCCAGGCCCTCACCGTGTGAAGCGAGAGCGTTAACCACCAGGCCACCAGAGCCACCAGAGCAGTGAATTCAAATCAGACAAATCTAGATTTAGAAAGGATTTAAAGAAGTACTGGCTTGTCAATAGAGTTGTAGATGAGTGGAACAACCTGGAAGGTACCGTCATTGAGGGGAGAACTTTTGGATAGGCCAAAATATAGGCTGGATGGGTATATAAACAGGTGTGAATGGAACCTGCCAGGTATTGATTAATAGGTCTAGTGCAGTGTTCCCTCATTTTTATATTCTTATGTGTGATAAATGGCTTAGAAAACCGGCAAGTTGAAGATTGAGACACTTATGCAACATGGGAATCTTTATTGTGGTAACGTTTCACCACACAGTGGCTTCATCAGTCCAATACAAAGTAGAAAGGTGTAAGGAGAGGAGAAGTTTGAGGTAATCAGTCCCTGGTTAATTATGCAGTTGGATAACAAGTAGATGAAGCTGTTATGGGGACAACATTTCGCTCTTCAGAGGGCGAAATGTACCTCTGGTATAAGTTTGTTTTCAGTCACGTTTCTCAACTTGTCAGGAATGAGACACTTGTGCAACGTTTGGGAATCTTTATTGAGGAAACGTTTCTCCAGCCAGTGGCTTCTTCAGTCCAATACTTCGAAGAACAGCGGAAAAAGAGGATGAACTTGGGGTAATCAGTCCCTCAGCCTGGAATCGATGAGTTCAATCTATCAATCTTGAAGAAAGTACAGCGTATGTCATGCATAGATTCCAGGCTGAGGGACTGATTACCTCGAAGTCCTATTTACCCACCGTTCTTCTCTGTATTGGACTGAAGAAGCCATTGGCTTCCCAAATATTGCACAAGTGTCTCATTCTTCAGCTTGTCGTTTTTCAGAATTATTTATCACATTCGTCTGTGTTTTGGTTTCAGAGGCGGAGTGAGGTATGGGGTCAGTGCTTGTGGCTGCCTGCCTTCTGGCCCTACTGACAACAGGCAAGTATATCAGTTATTATATCCCAGTAAGTATGCAAAACAACCACGGGGGGAGTAGAATGATAGCTCTAGGTCTTTCGTGTTGCAATCAACACATCATCAGAAGCTGGCACAATTGCAGACAAGAGGAGAATGTCCAAGCAAATACTATCTCAGGGGACGTCTCTACTGAAGACATCCCCTGGGATACAGAAGCGATTAAAATTGGAGACGACAGAAGAATTTGAAAGGTTAAGATAATGTGGTCGGTCCATTAACCTGAGTCTTATTGATCAGCTTGTCCGTATTGTATTCCATTATTATTAATGATGCTTTTGGTATGGCTAACATTATCGTTCTCTCACAGTAGAAGCCTTTTACTGTGGCTAACACTATCGTTCTCCCGCAGAAGTCTTTTACCGTGTTAACACATCGTTCTTCCATAGAAACGTCTTTACAGTGCCTATGCTATCGTTCTCCCTTAGGAAAAGTCTTTACAGTGCCTAATACTATCGTTCTCCCGCAAAGAAGCATTTTACCGTAACTAACACCGTCGTTCCTCTACAGGAGAGGGTCTGATGTGCTGGGTGTGTCTACCTGAGGTTGAGGGCAGCTTGTTCAGCAAGGATGCTGCAGTCTTGTGGATCGCCAACATCTCCCGTACCTGGGTAGGCCTCACTCAAGATGACTTCGGCTACTGCCCAGACTTCGACTACAGTGTCAAGTACCAGGGCGCTTGTAATAGTAGCCTGGGCCTCCCTGCCTGCATTTACGTTTCTAATGGTAACTGGTTCTGTTGGAGTGGGTCTTCTGGGGTGGTTCTACTGGGGTACTTCCACTGGAATATTGTCTAATCCTCGTAATGCAACCTCCAATACTTTACTCTAAAGAGGATGGTTATTAACCCAGGGTAAACTAAAAAAAAAAAAAAAAAGTCTTATTTCCAGTGTGGCTTAAATCCTCTTTACTAGATTGTGATCCATAATACCTGTCTAACACTTGGTACCTAATAACTGCTAGGCGAAGAGGGGCAGCAGGTGTAGTAATACCTGTCCACAAGTCTCTCCCCGCCCTGGATTCGAACCCTAGTCCTTGTGGCTGTGAGGTAGTTGAAATCGTATGGATTTATATAAAGACGCTTAGAAGTATCATGCTACGAGCTAATTTCTGTTAATCGAGGTATGCAAACACTTCAAGAAGGTAATGCCAAACACGCGATAACCCGTGTGTGTGTGTGTGTGTGTGTGTGTGTGTGTGTGTGTGTGTGTGTGTGTGTGTGTGTGTGTGTGTGTGTGTGTGTGTGTGTGTGTTGTTCACTGCCATGGTGATATGACAGAGGGTACCACTGTCAAAATGGATATACCCCCTCCCCAATCATCGCCATCACTACCACCATCCCATTCCCCAGCGAAGTTCCACCACCAAGCCCCATACCCCCACATTCACCACCCCGAGCCCAGCACCACCCATTCCCCATCACTCATCCCCAAAACCATAACACACAGGAAACACATTCACAACAACCAACAGCCCATGAAGGCTGAGTGAACTACCATTTCCTGTAATTAATTATTATTATATTATTATTATTATTATTATTATTATTTAAATCATATGTAAGAGAAAGACCATTATGAATCATGCACATTACAAATCATCACTGAACATCACAAATCATCACTAAACATCACAGATCATCACTAAACATCATAAAAATCATCACTAAGCATCATAAATCATCACTAAACATCACAAATCATCACTAAACATCACAAATCATCACTAAACATCATAAATCATCACTAAACATCACAAATCATCACTAAACATCACAAATCATCACTAAACATCACATATCATCACTAAACATCATAAAAATCATCACTAAACATCATAAAAATCATCACTAAACATCATAAATCATCACTAAACATCACAAATCATCACTAAACATCACAAATCATCACTAAACATCATAAATCATCACTAAACATCACAAATCATCACTAAACATCACAAATCATCACTAAACATCACAGATCATCACTAAACATCATAAAAATCATCACTAAGCATCATAAATCATCACTAAACATCACAAATCATCACTAAAACATCACAAATCATCACTAAACATCACAGATCATCACTAAACATCATAAAAATCATCACTAAGCATCATAAATCATCACTAAACATCACAAATCATCACTAAACATCACAAATCATCACTAAACATCACAAATCATCACTAAACATCACAGATCATCACTAAACATCATAAAAATCATCACTAAGCATCATAAATCATCACTAAACATCACAAATCATCACTAAACATCACAAATCACCACTCAAGTTTAATTCATAAGGAAAAAAATACACTCAAAAAGTCCATAGGCTCAGTATGGAAACACTGAAATACCTCATAGACTGTATAAAATATATATATATTGATCAAAAATCAAACGAGAGAAGCAGGAGCCTTTGGACTGTGGCGTTGCAGAGGTGCCTGCGTTGGTTACGTTACGTTACGTTACGTTACGTTACGTGAGGTTAGGTTAGGTTGGGTTGGGTTAGGTTATGTTTGGATAGGTTAGGTTAGGTTTGGGTAGGTTAGGTTAGGCTAGACAAGGTTAGGTTAGGCTAGGTTAGGTTAGGTTAGATAAGGTTAGGTTAGGTTAGGTTAGGTTAGATTTGGGTAGGCTAGGTTAGGTTAGGTTTGGGTAGGTTGGGCTGGGTTAGGTTAGGTTAGGTTAGGTTGGGTTAGGTTAGGTTAGGTTAGGTTAGGTTTGGGTAGGTTGGGCTGAGTTAGGTTAGGTTAGGTTGGGTTAGGTTAGGTTAGGTTAGGTTAGGTTAGGTTAGGTTAGGTTAGGTTAGATTAGGCTGGGTTGGGTTGGGTTGGGTTGGACTGGGTTGGGTTGGGTTGGGTTGGGTTGGGTTGGGTTGGGTTGGGTTGGACAGGGTTGGGCGCTTGGGTTGGGTTGGACAGGGTTGGGTTGGGTTGGGTTGGACAGGGTTGGGTTGAGTTGGGTTGGACTGGGTTGGGTTGGACTGGGTTGGGTTGGACTGGGTTGGGTTGGGTTGGACTGGGTTGGGTTGGACTGGGTTGGGTTGGGTTGGGTTGGGTTGGACTGGGTTGGGTTGGACTGGGTTGGGTTGGACTGGGTTGGGTTGGGTTGGGTTGGTTGGGTTGGGTTGGACTGGGTTGGGTTGGGTTGGGTTGGGTTGGGTTGGACCGGGTTGGGTTGGACTGGGTTGGGTTAGGTTATTGTGGCTTGTGTATCAGCATGGTGTCTGAGGACACTGGTTAACCGTTGGTTAAGACGACGTCTCGCTTCCTGTAGAGCTTTGTCAAGTCATGAAAAAGCTCTACACAAAGCGAAACATAACTTGATAAAGCTCTTCACAGAGCGAAACATGATTAAGTTCTACACAGAGCGAAACGTTGTGCCAACAAATGTGTCTATCGTAATGTGTGTCATTCCTTCACTAATGTCAACAGTACAGGGTGTTTCAAAATGAATGACCCAATTTTAGTATATACTGCTTTGAAATTGGGTATATAAGTTTGAAACACTCTGTATTATGACGTTTGCGGCATGATTCATGATGACCAGCTACAGCGACTGGGGTTACATAAGTCTGTATTATAAAGCGGATATCCTCGTCTATTATCCTGCGCGAGGTTTGCTGCTTTCAAGGTAACTTCTTACCCTTATTCAGATGTACTCACCTATTTGTGGTTGCAGGGGTCGAGTCATAGCTCCTGGCCCCGCCTCTTCGCTGATTGCTGTGTGTGTGTGTGTGTGTGTGTGTGTGTGTGTGTGTGTGTGTACTCACCTAGTTATGGTTGCAGGGGTTAAGCCACAGCTCCTGGCCCCTCCTCTTCACTGGTCGTAAGTTCTGTACGTTCTGCAATCTATACATTATATTTGACTAAATGGTTAGTGAGAATATATATTTTTTTATGTGGGTATGTGTGTGCCCACAAATCCACTGAAGAAAATGTTTGTTATATTTCTAGATGCTACATAAAACTCACCAACAGTATTGACTTACAAACACTATTGACTTAATTTGTCCTCCTCACAGACTACTGGATCGCACGTACGTGTGGAGTAGTCCCCAAAGGGATGGAGATGGGAGAGTGCCAGACTACGAGGGACTACACTGTCTGCTACTATGGCAGTGACTACTCCAACATAGGGAACAGTGGTGTCCCTATTCTGGGTTCTCACCTTCTGCAGGCACTGCTGCTACTGTTCCTACTGGTGCCAGCCTTCACCGCCGCCTTCTGAACACTTAAACTGTACTCAGATTGCCAGGTAAGTTATGTTGTTAGGTTTGTAATCTATAAACTTACTGTAACCATATATAATAATAATAATCTTTATTTCTACAAGTACATGTACAAGGTATACAGACCATAGCTGACATCAATGACATACTACTATAAGGCAAAGCTCTCGCTTCACACGCTGAGGGACCCGATTCGATTCCCTGCAAGGGTAGAAACACTGGGCGTGTTTCCTTACACCGGTTGTCCATATTCGCCCGTCAGTAAAATTGGGTACCTGGGTGTTAGTCGACTGGTGTGGGTCGCATCCTGGGACAAAATTGACCTAATTTACCTGGAATGCTCTGCATAACAAGCGGTTTTCTATTTAGTAGTATGTCATTGATGGCAGCTATGGTCTGTATACCTTGTACATGTACTTGTAGAAATAAAGATATTTTTATTATTATTAGGGAAGATAAAGTAAGGGTGTTAGATCGGTGACGACGTCTGAAGTAAATTCTGCATGCTCGTTGATAATAGGCAATTCTCACAATGTGGATACATTCTTCTCATTATATCCTTGTATTGTACTGATAAAGCCACTGGTTGGCGAAACTTCTACAATGAAGATACCCAGATGTTGTACGTGTCGATTATTATAATCAAGGGGAGCGCTAAACCCGTAGGTTTATACAGCACACGTGGGGCGAGGGGATGGAAGGTATACAGACTTAATTCAGGGAACTGGAGCACAGATCCAATTCCCTAGATCAAGAGTCCCTCACCAGCGTCAAGGAACCTCCTTGAAGGGAATGTACATGTGTCAAATCTTCATCTTGTCGTATGGTATACCATACATATACATACCATTATTGTAGAGACAGATTGTGATAGTTCCTGCTAAACAACCCACCGTACCCAGCTACCTCCCTCAGTATGAGAGGATAGTGTTAATAATCTAGTCACTTAGCGACACACAATACACAAGGAAGAGCTCTTGAAACTAATTTATACCTTAATATCCCCCAGAGATTTTCAGACATCTGTAATTAAGCTTAATTTACAGTTAGTGAACCTCAAGAAGCGCTCTTGACCGTGAGGGCTTGATCTAGGATTGATTGTGCTCAGTTCTGAATAGCTGAATGCCTTCTCCCCATAGGCGCTGTATAATCCTACGGGTTAGTGCTTCCCCTTGATTCAACTATGAATAATAAAGCAGTTCTGACAGCCGGCTGTGTGTACGTTGGTTTGCGTCAGCCAGCAGCAACAGCCTGGGTTGATTTAGCCTGTAACTCACCAGAGGCTGTCACAGACCGGCCCGGGCGTTGATCCGAACTTCACCCGGTATCATGAATAATTGCAATCCATTGCTCTGCAGATGTTCCTCGTATGTGCAGTGTTTATAGCTGTGATGTGTGCCCAGGCTCATTACCAAGAGTCGAGTCTCAGTCCTCCCCTCTCGACTACTCCGACGACACGGCCATGTGGACCTGTCATACCATTCTTAAACCTGATATATTTTCAGTACTCTTATCACAGTGTTCTGCATCTAGCTGGCATGTATGTCACGTTAATAAAGATCATACACTCTAGTGTTGTTTTTGTCCTGCCTTACAAAAGCAAAAGTCTCTCTCTCTCTCTCTCTCTCTCTCTCTCTCTCTCTCTCTCTCTCTCTCTCTCTCTCTTCTGTCAATTGAAGGTCATTATAGCCTCTGTAAGTAAGTTTATTCAGGTATGACACAGTTACATAGATTATCATACATAGCAACATATGTGTAGAGAACCCAGGTTAACCCAAAAAAAAGTCAGACAGGGTGACTTATTTCCATTGTGGTTCTTAAATTTTCCTTCTCGTGAAGAATGAATTCATAATACAGTGACTGGAACAATACCTGTCTCTGGCTTGTAACACAAACATGACATAAGCATCACACAATGAATCTTTTTTGAATTATCACGTTTTCGTGGTCACTGGTTAATACAATACACGGGAAAATTAATTGGTTATGAAAAATATATGCTTCTGGGGGTTTATCCCCCACTGGCTGTCCCTATCCCAGGGGCTGTGCCTCTGTATTCAGTTCCTGGAGTGTACCTGAAGGTGGTTTCGGGGGACCCCAACGGAAATAAGTCACTTTATCTGACTTTTTTGGGTTATCCCAGGTTCTCTACACATACCTACCTACCTGGTGGTTATTTTTTTTTATATTTTATTTAAAAACGCAATACACAATTATACATGTAGACAATGAAACGTAACCATTACATATAACAACAAAAAATTCCACATTCCCGACCTTAGAACTAAACTTATACATAAGAAAACACACGTTCAACTAAAAAAGTTTGATACCCCCCCCCAAAAAAAAAAACCATCACACATAACATACATTTAACTAAACTAAAGACAGCCCACGTCTTCAAATACAGGTGGGTTTATTACATCCAAAATTGCAGCCATAAACACAATATGCAATATAACCCAAAGAATGTCACAGGTATTTACATGTTACATAAAACTGTATGTACGAAGACATTCTCAATTATCCAAAAATTCTTTACACACTTATTATTATATACAAATACATAATACATAACACCTTAAAAAATTACGAAACAAATAAAGGTTAGAAAATAACAATCTCCACACCTCACCACACAAAAACTAAACACTATAATATAACAAATGATTCGTTCCACCTCACTTCCATACACTACATTCATCCCACAAGCGAACAAACACTACATTCATCCCACAAGCGAACAAACACTACATTCATCCCACAAGCGAACAAACACTACATTCATCCCACAAGCGAACAAACACTACATTCATCCTACAAGCGAACAAACACTACATTCATCACTTCGACTTAAGAAATCGTAATGACACGATTGCAAATAAACCATACCCCCGGCCGGGATTGAACCCGCGGTCATAGAGTCTCAAAACTCCAGCCCGTCGCGCTAGCCACTAGACCAGCTAGCCACAATAAGATTCATCCAACTAGGTATATTTCTACACCATAGGAAAGTTAGCACAGGCACCTCTGTGACCACAAATGCAAGTTTTTACAGACGAATCTCCAGCTAGCGTGGCCGTGACGAACTCTAGCTCAAGTTCCTTCACTGCCGTCAACATGACTTAAGAAATCGTAATGACACGATTGCAAATCGTGTCATTACGATTTCTTAAGTCATGTTGACGGCAGTGAAGGGACTTGAGCTAGAGTTCGTCACGGCCACGCTAGCTGGAGATTCGTCTGTAAAAACTTGCATTTGTGGTCACAGAGGTGCCTGTGCTAACTTTCCTATGGTGTAGAAATATACCTAGTTGGATGAATCTTATTGTGGCTAGCTGGTCTAGTGGCTAGCGCGACGGGCTGGAGTTTTGAGACTATGACCGCGGGTTCAATCCCGGCCGGGGGTATGGACTACATTCATCCCACAAGCGAACAAACACTACATTCATCCTACAAGCGAACAAACACTACATTCATCCTACAAGCGAACAAACACTACATTCATCCCTCAAACAAACAAAAACTACATTCATCCTACAAGCGAACAAACACTACATTCATCCCTCAAACAAACAAACACTACATCATCCTACAAGCGAACTTACACAATCACGTATATTTAGTAATATTCTTCAAATATAATTTCCATTTTTAAGTAACAAACTTCTTCTACCATATAATAAAATATACATAGTCATTACTATTAAACATTAACTTAAACAAGTACTATATTCTTATTCTACAGACCGCAGCATTTCTTGCCTCACCATCCTAACACTACTTAACACATTGTACATGAACACGTCCTTATATACCCATCATGTCAATAATATTCATTGAACTTCACCGAATACTAATATACAACCCATACTGAGTACATGAAATTCTCTCTTACATACTGCTATATACACTTGATGTATGATAAAAATCACACACATTACATTATCTCATTATTAGCAGTACATTTGGTACACAGACATATTTATCACGCCCGCATGTCCTTTGCTTTGATACAACCACCAGTCCTGATAATACATTACAACATATTCCAAATTTAACTTATTCATTACATACATCAGTAAACCAGCCTGAGTATGACCGTATACTTTTCACATTCACACAAATATTGCTCATTTCCATGTCCATAAAAATCTTAACAACGTTTCCCTTACGAACCACCACAAACTTTACTTAAAACACATTCCACAACTACGCTGCAATTTCACACCATATCAAGCAACTCCTCATACGTTCCCAAATTCTGAGACGAGCCCGGTGCAACCCCTGAAATTCATAACACATACCCCCCCCCCCTTTTTTTTTTTTTGTTTTGTTTCTCACTCCGCCAACAAACCTCTGACATTCATACTTCGATATCCTTCAGGAAAAGCCCTTTCCCATCTACTTCCGTATATCCCCCTATTACGACTAAGTGTTTTGTACATTGTTGCAGCCAATACCTTCTTTCGCACAACCCAATCCCCATTACCCCTCATGGCCCATGATACGAAAACAAAATCCGCCATGATGTACACTAAAGCACTGCACAGACTCTTCCACACCTCCCACATCTAAACTCAATGCCCTTAATACCGATATCCCTCCCCCATCCCACCCTCCTCAAAATCCCACCCATCCACTCCCGTATACACTCCAAATTTTTACAAAAATATACATGTTGTGATAGAAACACAGGCCTTATCTCTAGGCTTTATTGAACATAGAATCTTCATAGTACTTCTGCAACAACAAAATATAATGACTAGTACATCTAATAATGGCTTCTACAGGGATGGTGATGTCTTGCATATGTCAAGAGAAAAGTTATAATTACAGGCCACATATTTAAACTCACCATGTAATCTGCATCACTGATAAATGGATATAGTAGGAGAGAATCACACACCATGTGTTGGCGCCCATGACACACACCAAACTGTTGTTGTTGTTAAGGGCCCCAAGAGGTGGTGCAGTATTATCCTGCTGCTGCTCCCCACAGGACCAGTATCACTACAATACATGA